AAAAATACAAAAAATTAGCTGGGCATGGTGGCAGGCGCCTGTAGTCCCAGCTACTCGGGAGGCTGAGGCAGGAGAATGGTGTGAACCTGGGAGGCGGAGCTTGCAGTGAGCCAAGATCTCACCACTGCACTCCAGCCTGGACGACAGAGTGAGACTCTGTCTCAAAAAAAAAAAAATTATGAATAGGTAAATTCATAACATAAAACATTCATTTAAAATCACTTAGAATATTTATCTTTCCCAAAACTGTATAAAAGATTGATATAATTTTGGCTCACAATGTATTTCACATAAATAATCTATATTTCTCTGTCTCTTTACAGTAAATTGTTGAAGACTGCTTCACAATTTCCACTTCCTCTGGCTGTTGGTGTGATTGCTTTTGGGTCAGCACATGTATATAGGGTTCCATGCTTTGCCTTCATTCCTCTTTTACTCCATGCATTATGCAACTTTATGTAAGAGTGAACTTAAGGAATGACGAAGATGATTTATGCGTTTAAGGCCAGTGATAAGAGGGAACACACAGATCCATCAGTATGGACAGCAAGATCCTTTGGAGAAGACAAGTCTATTTTTACAATATTGAAAATAGGAAATTAGTTTTGTAATGTTTGAGGGAAGTAGTTGAAGCATGGTTTCGTTTTGTGGTGTGGAATCCATGTACTAATCGTTTTTGAAAAATTTGTGAAGGGATATATGGTGATCACTATCATTGAGGACTCCTGTGCATATCAAATAGTCTGTTTTATCAACCATACGAGAAGTCTAATATTAGAGATTTAGTAGATGCAGCATTGTTTGTAATCTTACTGCAAGCATTCTGCTCATTTCATCAAACTTTTTTCACAAAAGTAGGTTATTTTGAATTTGCTGTAGTTTATCTGTTAAGAAATAAGTCTTTAAATAACTGATGAAATTTACAGCTGTTTGGTTTCTCAAAGGTTAAATAGCCACAGAAAGCCTTTGGTTAGTTTTTGGCAGCCACCATGAACAAAGTGGATCTTGTCTTCTTACATCTATGAAAATAGAGCTTTGAATGGTAAGGAGACATGTTTTCTTGGTAACCAATGCAAGATTGATGGGTGGAAACATTCAAACGTAAACAATTTTTCTTGCTATTTTTCAAATATGAATCTTATTATATATTCTCAGTGAACGTCAGGAGACTATTAAAGTGGTCTGTTGTTAAATGTAAAGAAAAAATGCTCATAGCTATTTGCTTCCCAGTATTGGAGCAGTTCAGTTGTTTAGTTTATACCATTGGATTCAATTCATTGCACCATGGTTGCCAAAAGTGCCTAAGGTCATAATGGATTGTGAAAATAACCAAATTCCGGTGGTTGGAAACTCTAGGTTTGTACCATTTTTTTCTGCTGTGGGAAAAAACAACAACAACAACAACATGATCAAGGTAACATCACATTTGATGTATAATATTATACTATTAATGGAATAACAGTAGACAACTGTAACCCATTAATAGCATGAGTATAAACAGTACACCTGAATAAATTGGAGACATTAGCCACTAGGTTTAACAGTGGAATTTTGATTTGCCTAGGTGACTTCTGGGATTACTGTTTGACAAATAGAAGAGTAACATTTTATTTCATTTCAGAATTTACTTCACTTTTAGCTACAAGAGTAGGAAGAAGGTAATCGGCAAGGCAGAAGAGTATACTCTTTGCCTTAGGATAGCGTAAACTCAGGCTGAGCCATACCTGGCTTATAGAGTTATTCTAGATGTATAGACTATAAATGCCCAAATCCTCTCAACTAAAGTTTTAGTGATGCCACAAAGCCTCTCATGTAAATTTCCAGTGATTCCACCATTGCACTTGTGAACATGTATCCTTGTTAGTACCCAGGGATGTCCTCGAGCACCAGTTTCATTTTATCTGCCATTGCATCTGGATTCCATTACAGCCTCTCAGCTGTTACTGCCTGTGGACGGTTACTTCTACTTACTGCCTGTAGAGGGTTACCTAACTTCTCTTCTCAGTGCTTCCTCAGGTCCTGCTCTTTTGGCCTCAGTTGAAGAGGGTCTTGCTCTCACCTCTGAGGGTTTTAAGTTTGTTTGATCCCATTATTGTCTTTTCTAGCTTCGAGCGTGTTGTTCAGTATTCATATTTTCACTTACTGAGAACATTAAAGGGAAATGATAAACTTATGGTGGGGATATGGCAGACAGGTGCTTGTTTGTTTGAGAGAAGCAGCAGAAGGGGTAAAATATGAAGTGCTATATGTTTCAGCTGGAGAGGAAAGAGAGAGAATTTATTAGATTATATACTTGTCCCGTGGCATACTACATATATATATTTAAATATGGACACATCTCCATATGTTTAACTATACTTATAGTCATAAACAACTTTGATACACATTGCATCTTTTATTCTGTCACCTGATATTTTAGTGTGTCTCAAGTTACAGATTACATGTGTCCTTAAACTATTTCTGAATTTGGACTTAGTTCCATATACAGAAAGAACTTTAGAAAATTCATCAATTTAGATCTTCTATTGATAGCCATAAATATTATGTTTATGTATTCTAAAACCTCTTTGTTTAGTTAATACTGTTCATGAATGTAACAAGCTTAAATTTCTCATTTGTGAGTAGTACATTTGCTTTTCATTTGTATTTTTTGAGATGGAATCTTGCTCTGTCACCAGGCTGGAGTGCAGTGGCGCGATTTCAGCTAACTGCAACCTCCGCCTCCCAGGTTCAAGTGATGCCCCTGCCTCAGCCTCCCGAGTAGCTGGGACTACAGGCACCCGCCATCACACCTGGCTAATTTTTGTATTTTTAGTAGAGACGGAGTTTCACCGTGTTGGCTAGGCTGGTCTCAAACTCCTGACCTCGTGATTTGCCCGCCTCTGCCTCCCCAGAGTGCTGGGATTACAGGCGTGAGCCACCACGCCTGGCCGTACATTTACTTTTTAAAGCAGCAGACTAGGAACAGTAATTCTCACTGAAATATTTTCATGGGAGTGTAGTTATCACCAAGTCCTAAAGTCTTATTTATGCCAAAAAAAAAATTCATTTTAAGGACTACAAAAATGATTCTAATTAAATATTTTATAATCAATAGTAGGTTGGGTCTTTAGCCATTATATATGTATATATACAGACACATATGTGTACACTTACATTTTGACAGGGTCTTCATTGAGTCTTGATGCACTTTAAACCCAAATGGCTACCAGAGATGCGAAGGTAGGCTCTTTGAAGATTAGCAAAATGGATGTTTCTGTCACTTGAGAAAAGGAAAGTCCTTTGCCTTTAAATTACACAGTTTTCATCATGCACACAATCTATATTATTGGCTGGTAAAACAGCACTGCCCTATTAGCAATGTTAACAAAAATGAAATTATTTATTGGCAGTTATAGATTATCTAATTCAGGAAATTTCTGAGCTCAACTTTTATAGCAACTGTTATGGCATTCTAATTTAGCAATTGTTGAGTTATGAGTAAGTTTTGTGCTTAACTCCTAGACCCTATTGTTGATAACCAGATCAAATGTAGTCTGTAGAGGGAATAATACTGGGTACATTCAGTATTTCTAAAGTCTCCTTTTGAGTTACTACTGATTGTAATTTGGAACTGATAATAGGTAGAGATTGCTAACACGATTTTTTTCCTGGACCTTTTTTATGCCAGAAATTAAACAGGTTCTACTAACTCTTTTTTATTTTCTTGGTTATCACCGGAATGGAAATATTTAAAGTGGTGACTCTAGAAAAGCCATTCGTGCCTGGTTAACATTGATTTTGAGTCTTTTCAATATATATTGATCATGTATTGATTAATCTTTATTTTTTCATATTTTGGCTAGACAAATTCAGATCTATATAATGGAATACCCCTTCTTGAGTGAACTATACTACTATCTACATGATTATATAGTAAGGAAAAAAGAAGAAATAACTGTAATAGGCATAGTAAGTGTTTGTTGTTGGTTGTCTTGTCACTCATGTGATACTACACATTTCCACAATACACACACACTTACATGAGGTGGATTATTTGTTTTGTTCATTATATAGTTCCTATATGTTTTTTCTTTAGAAATAAAGTCTCGTTCTGTCACCCAGGCTGGAGTGCAATGGGCAGTCATAGTTCACTGCAGTCTTGAACTCCTTGGCTCATATGATCCTCCCTTCTCAGCCTCCCAGAGCAGGTGAGACTATAGGTACATGCCACTGTGCCCGACTTTTTAATTTTTTTGTAGAGACAAAGTTTCAGTTTGTTGCCCAAGCTGATCTCGAACTCCTGGTTTCAAGCGATCCTCCCACCTCGGCCTCCCAAAGTAGTGGGATTTCAGGCATGACCACCTGGCCTAGTTCCTATACTTTTCTTAATTCTTCAGACTTCTCACATCTAGTATAGTGCATTCATTTCATCTTGCTGTTTATTAGCACCCTTTGTGGCCAAGGGAAATAAAAGGTGGTAAAATTCAGTTTTCAGTTTAGTTCTTGAAAGCTCTGGGAAATAGAGGAAACACACAACTATGAATTAAACTAGGGCTGTTGATTTCTGAACCCCCAGATAAATCAGTTGGCCCACATTTTAATTTTAGGTGTTAGGTCCAAATTAGCATAATGTCTTGCATTATCGTTAGGTTCAGTGTGAAACTTTACAGTGCTGCATTTGACGTTTTAGGGACTGGTTATTATTAATCATTTGGGAAAAATGAAAATGTGTTGGAACCTTCTATGACTAGGCGTTTGTTGATTATTTTTCATGATTGCTTTTTGTTTTCTCATTGTGTAGGATTTGTGAACTTGTATATCGTAGGTAACAAGATACTTTGTAAAATTTACTGGGGAAAATCCATTTGGAGCGCATGACATTTGCCAGGATAAGAAAGCAGTAATATGTTTGTATTATAAAATTACACCCTGCCAGAAAACTTTCTTTCCTAGTAAGGTAAATGTAGAAAGGACTTTTACAACATAGTAAGTTGATTAGGAGCCAAACTTTGATCCCGGTTTTTTTTTGAACTAAGGTTCTAAACTCTGTAATGAACTTTTATGTTTACACATTACTCATGCATTCTTTCACAATATGTTTAATAGCCTGAGGAAATAGGAGAGCTATAAAGCTACTCGAGTTCTTTACTTTTAATAAGAACAATAGGGAAGAAAAGTCAGGTCAGTAATCCAAATCCAAATATGTGTACTGCAAATGCTCATTCACATTTTTTGATAAATTGTATTGAGTTCAGAAGAACTTACATGAATTTATTATCTGTTAATAACTTAGTTTTAACAACAGAATAAAATTTGGAAATTGTGAGAATAATCAAGCTGTTTTTCCATTAACAGTGTAAATTCATAACGTGTCTTTCAGAAGTTAGGTGATATTCTAAGCTGTCTTAATTGTCTATGGTTGATAACTTTTACATAAAGTACAGTACTTTCTTAAAGTGTTTGGCATATTATGCTGCCAATAACATCTGTGTTTTGAAATACCAATTAATCAGTTAATTTCTGAAGACTTTGTGTAGGACTTGATATATGAGTCAGAATCTGTCTATACTCATTCTGTGCATTGTAACTTTGAACACTTATGAAAAACTGTATCTATTGGTGTGTTTTGATTAGTTAGTGTAGATTTGTTTGCATATTTGAATTCTGATTTTAGTTTAGGAAGTCTAAAAATAGCCATTTTTGTAAAGTTCATATGCTATTTTTTAATGTCATTTTGGTTTTTAATATTTATACAATAGTGATGTTACTAGTAAAAAAATGTTTATAGACAACACGTAGAGCTATTAACTGTCCAAAAGCCTACATGATAGGCATATTTTGTATTTCATGTTGCA